ATCTTTGACATCATGCTGAACATCATAATTGTCGTCGTCATCTTCATCATCAGTACCATCAAGAGAATGGCTGCCACCATCACCATCGCCATACAATCCTCATAATTAAGCATTGTAATTCATGTCTGATGTGCAGATTGCTGCTTTCTGCACCATAGGGGCCATAGGGGCAGGGGTGGGGCGACAACCCCAATCCGCAGCGGCGGTATGGGTGGGTGAGGGGGGGAGCTGCCCTTTTCGGGGGGGAGGGGGGGGAATACCATTGGGATTGGGGGGGGCGGGGGTGGTGGTGGCCGTATATGGACCCTCCTGGTGCTTACACCCCCCAGAGCTCTCCTTACAAAGTTCTGTTCTACTCCCTAACCCCTAAGCCCTGAAACCCTTAACCCTGAACCCTTAAACCCTTAAACCCTTCCCTTGAACCTTAAGCCACCCTAAAACCCTAAAGCCTTAAACCCTTAACCCCTAAACCCTAAACCCTTAAACCCTAATCCCAAAACCCACTTCAAGCCCCGATGCTGCTAAGCCTGAACGAAGGCTCTTCCATGAAGTTTGTTGGGGTGTTTAGAGGGTTTAGGGTTTAGGGATCTGGGGGGTTTGTTGAGGGTTTTTTGGGAGGTTTAGGGGGTTTTAGGGTTTAGGATGGTTTAGGGGTTAGCGGGCATGTTTAGGGTTTAGGGGTTTCGGGTGTACGGTTTAGGATGGTTTAGGGTGTCGGGGATTGCTTATCGTTTAGGGGTATATGGTTTAAGGTACATGAGTGATCTGATGGCCAGGATATGCTTTCAAGGAGGAAGTTAAATACTTCTCAGCTCTCTGCCATTCTCACAGGAGATCATGCTTGGAGAAGCAATGTCGGTGAGTGTATATACGGCTGATGATAACAATCCTGCACTACCCATAATAAGGCATATACCATAATTCCCACAGTTTAGGGTCCTTAAGGTAATGCAGGTTTTATATCATCAACAGGAGGGCTCCTTGGGTGCCTTAGGTCTTAGGTGTCATTGTGGCAACCTTTGCAAAAGCAACACACTCCATCAGTACGGCTTTGCAGAGCTATCATAGCTCATACTGTACCCTAAGGGTCCAGGTACCCAAATAGTATATACTTTGGCCTGAAAGTAGTTCCTATTTGGGTACCTCGGGGCCAAAGTATCTACTATTTGGGCACATGGACCCTTAGGGATAGCCATCTGTGGCCATGCTCCTGGAATTCAGCAACGGCCATCTTCTGCGATGGCTCGGCCACCGACCGGAGGTCAGACACTGCCCTGTGCTGTCGTTGTTGGTGAACCACGAGCAGCTTCCTTCCCGGTATCCCGGTATCTGCAGCTGGCTCGTTTTGGGCGTGCTGGGTCGCAGACCCCTCAGTCCGTGGCCACGCAACTGCAGTCAGATGCGTAGTTCTGGCTCAGCTAGATACAGGGGGATGTCAAGCCGGGGAATCAAGCGTGTTCCGCATCGCCGACGTCGCTTCGTGCTTTGCCCTCTCCTGCCGCAAGCATGCGATTCGTGGCGTCCCAAATGGCGGACATTGGCGCCACGCTGACTACCACCTGCCAGAGGGACCCTGAATTAGGTGGCATTTTGACATGAACTGTTTCAATTGTTCTCCATGACATAGTAGAAGCCCACAAGTTGGAAACCCAATAGCTTCTATCCGAAATAGTAATGCATAAGGAATCCCAGCACTATGTGTCTCGTATACCCGGTTTCCAACCTTTTTGGGGTTTACTATAAACGATGGGGGGGGCACCTTTGAAGTACAACTCAGTAGTCCTTGCAGTCTCCATTGTAGTCTGTTTGACCCTAAACCCCTAAACCCTAAACCCTAAACCCTACACCCTAAACCCTAATTTGCCAATCTTAAGCTTGGGATTTGCCAATCTTAAGCTTGGGGTTTAGAGTTTAGGGTTTAGGGCCCAAGGTTTGCCGATAATACAAAACTGGTGAACCCAAAATAAGAGCAACACACCCTATCCCCCAAACAGCTAATATAGGGGACTATCTATTTACCAATATGTTTTTCGGGTTCCTTGGTATTTTTCAGTAGAATGGGCCCCAAAACGCTGTTTCAACCATTATAGGCCCCTAAACCCTCAACCCTGCTCAGATAAGCAGCACCAATACGGACCTCTAAGCCAAGAGCCTACAAGACCACCTAAACCCTAAACCGTAGACCCTAAACCTCAAACCCTAAACCCGTGGCATACTTACAGCCGGCCAGAACTCTCTACTCGTCGGGTTTCTCAGCCCTGGATCCCGACTTATCCATGAAACCCTCAATCTCCAGGTGGGTTACCCTGAGGGTCCACGTACCTACCTCGACCCCCCAACTACCCTCTAATATACCCTAAATACCCACTATTACCCTAAACCCTAAACCCTAAACCCTAAACCCTAAATACCCACTATTAAGGACCATAAGGGCTCCATTAAAGGGCCCTTGCGGGATCCAGGTAAATCGTATATACTTTGGCCTTAACGTCGTCCCTAGTTGGGGAACTTTGGGGGCCTTAAAGTATCTAGTGTTTAGGGTTTAGGGTTTAGGGTTTAGGGTTTAGGGTTTAGGACTTAGGGGGCCTTAAAGTATCTACTATTTGGGCACATGGACCCTTATAGGGTTAGAGCAAGCCGTACCTTCCCACCTTTCTCGTCCCTATACCCTAAACCCTAAACCCTAAACCCCAAACCCTAAACTCTAAACCCTAAACCTCGTCGTGCAACGCTGAAGTCCCACCATTGAGGCCCGACGCCACGCCCGCGAACCCCACGTCCCCAAAACCTTACGGCGACATCTTCGGGATTCCCCTCCCTGAGCCCAGCTCTGGTTCAGGGTTTAGGGTTTAGGGTTTAGGGTTTAGGGTTTAGGGTTTAGGGCACACTTCTTTCAGGAGCTAGAATATAATATACGATCATTTTTATTTTAGTGTACTATTGCACAAATATAAGTATAGTATCATCTGCGGGATATATATATATATATATAAACGGGTTGATTCGGTGTTTAAGCAACCCTAAACCACCTACACCCGGAAGCCTTAAGGCAACAACGTCCCAGCTTCCAACCCACCGCCAGGTATTTTTGGATGAAGTTCAGGAAGCCTTTCAACTTCTTCCTGTGTCACCACAAGGTGCTACTTGTGCAGGGCGTGGGGTTTGAGGGTCCAGGGTTGAGGGTTGGTTTAGGGTCTAGGGGCTAAGGGTTTAGGGTTTAGGGTTCAGGCAAGAGCTTCAGCGTTTTGAGGGTTCCCCTTCTACAAAGTTCCGCTTGAAGGGTTCTAGGCGGCTTCCATTTGATCTTTCGGGGTTTAGGGGTGTCGGGTTTAGAGTTGAGATTTAGAGTTCAGGGTTCCGGGTTCCGCGTTTAGGGTTTAAGGTTTAAAGTTTAAGGTCTAGGGTTGAGGGGTTTAGGGTTTAGGGTCTTGTTCTGGGTGCGTAGTTACAAGAGGGGTTACAAGTGCGCTAGTTCAGGGAAAGCTACCACAAAGCATAAACCGTCAGCCCTAAACCCTAAACCCTAAACCCTAAACCCTAAACCCAAACCCTAGACCCTAGACCCTAAACCTTAACCCTAAACCACAAAGCCTAAACCGTCAGCCCTAAACCTTATAAGCCCCAGACCCTACACTGTACGTTAGACCCTAGACCTTTAACCCTAAACCCTGAACCCTAGGTTCAGGGTTTTCGGGTTTGAGGTTTAGGGTTTAGGGCCCCTAAACCTTTAACCCTAAACCCTAAACCCTAAACCCTAAACCTTAAATGCTGAACCCTGAACCTTCGAGTCTCAAGCTGGGCGGCTTTGATGGAGTGTCACCGGCTTCTTCGCCATGTCCGTTACCTAACAGGTCCGCCATCCCGGCGGTTTAGGGTTTAGGGTTTAGGGTTTAGAGTTTAGGGTTTAGGGCGGGCTTGATGCGTGAGGACGGGAAGGAAGTGACTGAGTCGATCCTCAAGACTCAGCTTTGTGGGCCCATGGTGGTCAAAGCAGCCCGGCAGAAAGCCATGCTGAAGCAGTTCGGGGAGGTGGCAGGTCGTCAGCTGCAATGGCCCGGGTCATCGCTTCGCTTGAAACAAGGGCCGGGCTGATGAAGGTGGCCTCTTGTATGACGTCGAACGTACCCCTCCATGGGGTGTCAGAGGAAAACATCGGCATAGCAGAATGCCGGGTCCTATTCAAAGAATTCCAGAAGGTGAAGACGTCTGGGCAGCCTGAAACGACTGCCGAAGTTGACAAGCCTCAGCAGGACACCAATGACATGGTTGTGCAGTTGGAAACTCTTGGGGCTGACGAGACCATGGCAACTTCCATGCCTTTATCAGGGTGCCGTAGTACCACGGCGAACTACAACGTGACCCTTATTTAGAGAGCTACGCATGTATACACAATTTCTAGAGGTCCTTATCATGATTTCCTTGTATAAGCCCAAAACCTTTGCCCCCACACCCGAAAACCCCAACCCCTAAGCCCTAAACCCTAAACCCCTAACCCTAAACCCTAAACCCCTAAACCCTAAACCCTAAACCCCTAAAGCCCTAAACTCTATAAACCCTGGAAAAGGCAGGTTCCCGAGGATCCTGATGGGCGTTGTATCGGGGCTTGGGGTTTGAGGGTCCAGGGTTGAGGGTTGAAGGTTTAGGGGTTCAGGGTTGGGAGTTTTGGGGGTTTGGGGGTTTGGGGGTTGAGGGTGAAGGTTTAGGGTTTAGGGGTTTGGGGGTTTAGGGTTTTGGGGTTTGGGGGTTCTGGGGTTTAGGTTTTAGAGGTTTCGGGGTTGGGGGTTGAAGGTTTAAGGTTTAGAGTGCTCCATTTAAGGTTTTAGGGTTTAGGGGTTCAGGGTTCAGGGGTTTGGAGTTCGGAGGTGTAGGGGTTGAGGGTTAAGGGTTTAGGTTGGGGGTTGAGGGTTGAAGGTCCCCATCTCCAAAAAATTTGGACTCTTGTACGACAAGTATTACGACCATTTCTATTATTACAGCTTTTTTTCTATGACGATGGTCACGGATATTAAACTAGTAAGCTGTAACCCCTAAACCCTAAACCCTCAACGCTGTTTCTACTAGACCATCCTTGCCATTATTATGACCAGGAATCCCAAGTCAGCCCTACCTAGGCTCCTATACCTTTTACTCGCGACGGCGGGGCCTTGCTTTGGATGGTTTAGGGTTCGGGGTTTAGGGTTTAGTGTATGCTATGGTGGGGATCCTGTAATCATAAACTCAGGTACTCAACAGAGGGCACTGCATTTCAGTGTCTACGCCTGTAGGGTCCTGGAACCTTAGTTGAACTTGATTCATAAACCCTGCACCCTACCTGAATCCGCAACAACCTACCTGTTAGGGTTCCTTATGCCGATTTCTTTGTCTAAAGCCTAACCCTTAATCCTAAACCCTCATTCAGGTAAACGCCCAATCTTGCTATCCTTAAAGACCGAAGCTTTACGAAGACTTTGGGGTTTAGGGCTTAGGGTCTAAGGGCCTTCGGGTTTAGGGTTTAAGGGTTTAGGGTTTAAGGGTTTAGGGCTTTAGGGCTTAAGGGTTTAGGGTTTAGGGCTCTTAACCTCTGAACTTGTAGAAGATTAACGGATCCGTTTCAAGAAGCATACGTAATGGAAGCCCCAAGAGCCACTCCAAACCTGGGTTCTTGTTAAGGGGCTTCAGTTAAGTTACCATAAAAAAACAAACCTTATTATATACTATAGGCTTCTATTATAGAACCCAGAATGGGACCCTAAAAGGGACACCCTAAACCCCTAAACCCCTGAACCCTAAACCCTTAACCCTTAAACCCCAAATCCCAAACCCGAAGCTCTAAGCTTAAACCCTCAAGCCCTAAACCCTAAACCCTTAAACCCCTAACCCCCAAGCCCTAAGCTCTCAACCAGCTCGGTGAGCAGGGTTTAGGGTTTAGGGTTTAGGGTTTAGGGTCCACCCATCAGGTCGCCACCGGAAGCTATGCCCGGCTCCTTAAGATGGAGCTGGACAAGTACGGCCACGGGGCTGAAAGGGTTTCGGGGGTTAAAGTTTAGGGTTTAGGGGCTTTGGGTTTAGGGTTTATGGGCTTAGGGTTTGGGGTTTGGATTTAGGGTTTAGGGGGTTTGGGTTTGGGGTTTCGGGGTTAGGATTTGGGGTTTAGGGGGTTTGGGTTTAGGGTTTCGGTTTCGGGGTTAGGATTCAGGGCTTAGGGGCTTTGGGTTTGGGGTGTGGGGTTTTTAGGGAAGATCCTTCAGCTCAAGGCCTTCCTCAACGGCTTCCTTTAGGGGAATTAGGGTTCCCTTGGGAGTTCCTGTAAGTTCAATGTAGGGTTCAGGGTTTAGGGTTTAGGGTTTAGGGTATGGTATAGGTATCGATTTGCCGTTATGTCAGTGTTTGAGGCCTTCGGGGTGTACCTAGGGCCCGATTTAGGGTCTTTATAGGGTTTAGGGTTTAGGGTTTATTTAGGGTTTGAGGCTTTTGGTCCCCCTGCCCGCACCCCCTTCCCCCACCACTCGGGGTTTAGAGTTAAGGAGCTTCGGTTGCTCGGGTGCAGGAGTTTAGGAAGTAGCTGCGTGGGCTTGCAAAAGTCGTTACCTAAACCTTGAACCCTGAACCCTACCACCGACCCACTGCCTTACCCTTACTGAAAGGATAATCGGGGTTAGATACTATAGGGTTGTAAGTGCGGTAACTTTACTTGTACTCAAAACCGCAATTAAGGTACCCATAACCTTACTTACTAAATCCCATGATCCTCCAAGTAGACCCCAAACCCAAAGCCCATTGCAAAACCCTGATACAACCATTTTAAGGAAGCGTTTAAGGACCCCCCCTTTTAGGAACCTTACTTGCTAGGTCCCATGACCCTCTAAGTACTCATGCGTTTAATTGTCAACCTGCAAGGCGTCAGGGATTGGGCTGTAGGGTTTAGGGGTTTTAGGGTTTAGGATGTAGGGTTTAGGGTTTAGGATTTAGGGGTTTAGGGTTGGGGACTTTGCGGTTTTAGGGATGAGGGAGTAAGACTCTAGCAGTCCCGGCTCTAGGATTTCAACTTCGTCTTCAAATTCACATACACACTGCTTTGCATTGTACCATTTTGGGAGTCGTATGTTATGTTGTCTTACACCACACGGTAGAGGCTAGTAGAGTATAGTATAGCAAACCCTAAACCCTAAACCCTAAACCCTAAACCCTAAACCCTAAACCGTCAGTATAAAGTAGTATTATATTGTACCACATGCTAGTGCTTTCGATATTCATGTTGATGGTTGCTTTACTATGCATGTGTATGCATATGTACATACATGTGTGTTTATTTTATACACACGTATATATGTATATATGTATATATATATATATATGCATAAACATATGGGTATGGGTCTTCTACTGTTCAGTTGATTGTATAAAGCCTCCCTATATGTCATATACACCCCAAACGAACCAACACACAATCCTTATCACAAGACCTTCCTCTAGCCCCAAACTGGTAGGTAGGTTATGACGCCATAGTCATACGATTTACCCTAAACCCTAAACCCCAAACCCTGATAATCAGGCTGCACAATTATGATTATGGAGCCCAGGCTGCAGAACACCTGGGTCCCTCTTATAAGGACCGTCAACGAAAAGGAGCATCCCCAAAGCCAGAAAGCCCAGAGGGTCCATATATACTACCATTATGGAATTAGGCCTTGAAAGACCATCCCTATTATGGTTTTGGGGACCTAATTCCATAATGGTAGTGTATATGGACCCTCTTGGAAGCAGGCTCGGAGCATTCGCGACCCCTGCAGGTTATAGGAGCTTCATCGATTGTGATGACCTGCAGGCAGTCTTGGCGAATGGGCCTCCTGGGATTTCCGCTTCTATAATTCTATGGGTATCCTATTCACTCCTGGGTCACACCTAAGAGTTTGTGAAATCATAACCTACTTTTTTGGTGGGGTTTGACGTTTAGGAGTGAAGAGTACTAGTTAAGAGTGCAGGATTTAGAGAGCTCAGCGCTTCTTGAGCATGGTTTTAACGGGCGAAGCCGGGTTTAGGGCTTGTAACGGATTGAGTTTCAGGCTCTTCTTTTCATCGTCATAACAGCAATGGAAAACTACACAAAATCAACTGCAAGAAAATCAGTCAGTAGCACTGGTAGGTACCCCTCACAAGAAGTTTCATTGAAGGGACATGTTGAGGACATCGGTGGAGTCAGCATCTGTCCCCCTGTACCAGGTTTACGGACTTGCTGCATGACCGGGATTGCTGGAAAGCTCTACATGATAAGGCGGGACGGCGCCATCTATGTCTTGGATGGGGAATTTACAGGTGTGGCAGATGCTGCGCGGATGAAGCACGCTATGAGGATCAACAAGAAGGGTGGCGTGAGCATTGCTGCCAACAAGTTCGGCGGGTGGGCCAATGCCTATTTCTCTGGGCAGAGCCGGATGGCTGAAGTGATCAGCTTCTTGACTTCGACTTCGTATATTTTCGCCTCGTGCTGATCTCTTTCCAGGAAAAATTGTGGTGAGCACGTTTGCCAGTTGTTGAATCAGGACCTGGTCAAGGCCATTCCGTGGGTCAAGGCCCGTTCTTGCATGCATGCTGTCCTGGACAACTGCTGCGCCCCCCCTAAACCCTAAACCCTAAACGACAGTCTTGCCAAGTTTCGCTTCTCCTTTTATGCCCAAAAAAGCTTAAAACTAAACACTAAACTCAGCGACCTGAGCCCAACGAGACCTCACCCTGAACCCTAAAGAAAGCACTCAACCAAAGTAAGACACCCTAAACACTTGATTTTGTATAAGGACTTTGTAGGGGCCCGTTACAGTAACCTCAAGAAGACACCCTAAAACCTAAACCCCTAAACCCCCAACCTTATAACCCTAAACCCCAAGCCCCTAAACCCTAAACCCCTAAGCCATCCTAAACCCTAAACCCCAAGCCCCTAAACCCTAAACCCTAGAAGAGCCCTGGAAAGCTGCAAAAACCCTTCAGAGCCCCCAACCGCGAGCCCAAACCCGAATCCTCAATCCTAATTTAAGCCTAACCCCCAAAAAACCCAAAGCCTAACCCCTAAACCCTAAACCCTAAACCCTAAACCCTAAACCCTAAACCCTAAACCAGAACCCTTAACGGCGGCCCTAAGGCCCCACCATAGGAGCCCTTACAAAGGAAGCCCCCAAAAGTTGAACGCTGAGCCTAAACCCAAACTCCTTAGGGTTTGGGGTTTAGGGTTTAGGGTTTAGGGTTTAGGGTTTAGGGTTTGGGGTTTAGGGTTTAGGGTTTAGGGTTTAGGGTTTAGGCTGACCTTTAAACCCCTACACCCCCAAACTTTAAACCCCTAAACCCTTACACCCCCAAACCTAAAACCCCTACACCCCCAAACCCGTAAAACCCTACTGTAAACTCTAAACCCTAAACCCTAAAACCCTCAAACCCTCCTAATGTAACCCTGAGCCTTGGAAAAACACCACACATAGAGCGACCCCTACCCTAAACCCTAAACCTTGAACCCTAAACCCTAAACCCTAAACCCTGAACCCTAAACCCTAAACCCTAAACCCTAAACCCTAAACCCACAAAGAGCGACCTGGAGGACCTGAGCAGGCTCTTCGGCTACGTCAGCCACGGAACCGTCTCACGACGGCATTGCTTTTGAGTTTTTAGGGTTTAAGCGTTTGGGATTTAGGGGTTTGGGATTTAGGGGTTTGGGGTTTAGAGTTTTAGAGGTGTAGGGGTTTAGGGGTTGAGTTTTAGGGTTTGGGGGTTTAGGGTTTAGGATTTAGGGCTCATGGGGTTTGGGGTTCAGGGCTTTAGGGTTTGGGTTTAGGGTGTAGGATTTAAGGCTCATAGGCTGTGGGGTTTGGGGTTTTAAGGTTTGGGGTTCGGGTATAAGGCTAAGGGTTTTCACGGCTGCATTGCTTTGATTTGGGGCGCCTTAAGAATGTTTAATTTAGGTTTCTTTTGGGGAAGGGTCTTGGGGTTTCGAGTTTAGGGTAGAAGCCCAACAGTTGGACACCACCCAATAGCAAGAATAATGCATAGGGAATCCTAGCGCTATTTGTCCCGAGTCCGGGTTCCAACTTTTCGAACCCTAAAACCCAAACCCTGTAAACCCTAAACCCCTAAACCCCTAAACCCCTAAAACCCAAAATCTAAACCCTAGGGTTTGGGGGGTTTGGGTTTCTTGTGTTTACAAGCGAGTCAGGGTTTCGGAATGTTCGGTGGTTCTGGCTCTCCGTAGATCCATTTACGGTTCGTCTAATAAGGGTCCGTCCCATTAAAAGGGGTGTTAGACCCTCTCTCCCCCTCCTTCCCTCCCTCCCTCCCTAAACCCTAAACCCTAAACCCTCCTTACCTCACTCTCTCTCTCTCTCTCTCTCTTCTTTGAAATATAAGGGCTGGGGTGGAGGATTCAGAAGACCACTGCGGCGAATTAGCAGGGCCTCAGCAGGGGGGGCAAGGCGAGCAACAGGAGGTTACTGCTTCTGCAGACAATGCTGGGTTTAGGGTTTAGGGTTCAGGGTTTAGGGTGGGGGTCACAGGGTCTTAATTCAAACTGATGGAGCTTCAAGGATCTCAGAACCCAAATCCCTCATTGCTGCCTGTATACCCATCCGCCTTTAGACACTGCTCCGATCCAATATCGGGGGGTGCCGTAATCATTAGACTACGGTTTTAGGTATATCGTACAAGGAATGCACCAAGGAATAGTATTCCTGTTCCTGTTCCTGGTTCCACTGTAGAGCTCAACCGCTGAATGTATAAACACTCTAAGTAGTAAGGCCAGCCCCTGGAACCCTACAGCCCTGTAGTACCTGATACCGTATCCCTAATAAGGGTCCATGTACTTAGTCCCTATGTGGGCGCTCTTGGGTCCACAGTATCTACTACTTGAGTACATGGACTCTTAGGGTATGTAGCCCGAACGGCAAGCCCTGTAATAACCCATTAGAACACTGGGTCGGCACTCATGTCACGACTGAAACCTTGAGAACCCTACGAACCTAAACCCTAAACCCCGGTAAAGACCCAGTAAATGAGGCCTTCATGGAGCCTTCAAATCCTAAACCCTAATCTCTAAACCCTAAACCCTAAACCCTAAATCTAAATCTAACAAGCACTAGAGGAGACGATGGTTATCTTCGGCAGCCGCGACGTCTTTACACGGAAGTGGTGTCTAGGTGCCCCAGCACCTTATGGTCTGCTTGTTATTTTAAGAGTTTGTTTTCAAGAGCTCGAGCATTCAGGGCTTTTCGGATTTCAGGTCTTTAGGTTTATGGTTTCTTGTTCCAAGACCCTTCAAAGGAAGGGTTTAATGCGGGTTCGTACAAGGGCCCTGCAAGAGCTGCATGCGACTCTTGGGTTTCGAGGCTTCCCAGTCACTACAGAATCGGTTAGTGAGGGTTTTAAGAGATACACAGACGGGAACTCGTGAAACTGTTTGTTGCTTTGGTAAAGGCACCGTAAGGCTTATAATAAGACCTTATAAGGTTCGGGGTCTACAATCTGATGACATGACTCATATCATACGAGGGTTTAGGGATTGTTTTTGCGGGTAGAGTTGGGTAAGATGTCCCTAAAACCTTATGGCCCCTAAAGCCCTATAATCCGAGGGGCTTGGCGTCTACACACTCCTCTACGCCGAGCTCTTAAACTCAGTTCTCCAATACCCAACCTTGAAACCGTTTCGGTTCTTATTATACTTGAGTAGCAATCTGACGGTTCAACCTTTTGTTTCCTTACCTTTTTGGGGAAGTAAGCAAAACCCTTATACTAAACACCGAAGATCCGAAACCCTTAAACCCTAAACAAAACCCCTAAACCTAAACCCCTAAGCCACCTAAACCCTAAACCCTACCTTATTGGGGAAGTAAGTTTAAAAGAGCCCTCGTCTGCCCGCTGTAGCACTCTCTCCAGCCCTGCAAGCCCCTATGTGAATCCTTCAAAGTCTTATTAAAAAAGGGGTGTGAATAAATACCTACGGGGGTCCTTAGTATGATTATGGTAGAATATAGGCGCCTGAATAATTACCTATACTATGTTAGGGGGGTCCTTAGTATAATTATGGTAGAATATAGGCCCCCCCCCCAAACCCTTCTAATCATGAAGGCCCCTACATTCGACCCCTTCAAAACCTCTTAGAGGCCCAGAGTCCTAAGCCTTTAGGGTTTGGGGTTCAGGGTTTAGGGTAAGAAGCATCATTAAACCCTAAACCCTCCTGTTTTTTTGTAAGACCCCTCCAAAAAACCCTTAGAGCCCTAAACTGCTCTAACTACTAGAAACGAACCCACAAGTGCTTCTCTACTTGGCCGAGGATGCAAGGGTTCACATTGGCGTCACCGCGACGGTCTTCAGAGGGGCATTGCTCAAGAATACAGCAGCCTCTGGATCCAGGCGTATGAGAGTTACGCAGCCTGCCTTGCACAGCCTTGCAGTGATGTCATGTGCCCGACTGAGAGTCTTCCGAGCTCAGACCGTCACTAGGGTTTAGGGTTTAGGGTTTAGGGTTTAGGGTTTAGGGTTTAGTGGGATCTGTTCTGGGGCAGCTGACGCCAACGAGCATCTCATTCGACGACGGGTTCATGGACGCCGCCATCATGGTGATCCGCTTCTCCGAGGAGCAGGTGGCTTGCATCGGCCAGGTGAGTGCACAGCCCAACTTGTTCATTGCAAACGAGGTTGACCCCCGCAAAACCCTAAACCCTAAACCCTAAACCCTAAACCCTAAACCCTAAACCAAAACCCTTAGAGCCCTAATTAAACTAGTCTAACTATTGAGGCTACTACATTATGCGGAAGCTTTATCGTGTTATTAGACCCCTCCAAAAAAAAGGAGCCCTAGATCCTAAACTTCCTAAACCCTAAACACCCATGCCCCCGGGAGCCCTAGACCCTACGCCCCAAACCCTAAACCCTAAACCCGCAACCCTAAACCCTCAAACCTACACCCTTAACCCTAAAACCCTAAAGCCCTAAACCCTAAACACCAAACCCTCAACCCTATACCCTCAACCCTACACCTCAACCCCAAACCCTAAACCCTAAACCCTCAACCCCAGACCCTAGAGCCTAAACCCTAAACCCCAAACCCTAAACCCTAAACCCTCATGCTGTTTAAGACCCCTCCGAAAGAAAAAAAACGGGGAGCCCTGGAAGCCCTAGAAGCCCCAGAATCCTGAAGCGCTAACCCTACAGCCCTAGAGCCCCAAAGCCTAAAGCCGAAGCCCCCATAGGGTTTAGGGCTTAGAGTTTAGAGTTTAGGGTTTAGGAATTAGGGTTTAGGATTTAGAGTTTAGGGTTTAGAGTTTAGGGATTAGGTTTAGGGTTTAGGGACCCCCCCCCCCAAAAAAAACCCTTAGAAACCCAAACCTCTAAACCCGAGACCCTAAAATCCTAAACCCTCAAACCCTAGACCCTAAACCCTAAACCCTGAACCCTAAGAAAAAAGCAGGGGAGATCATGACGGCCCGGATACACGAAGTCCAGACGGCCGCTGGGATGCAAGATCCGTGGGGTTTGAGGCTCCGTTATACCCAAAGGCCCCATTGAGTTTAGGGTTTAGGGTCTAGGGTTTACTTAAAGGATCATGGTACCGTGGCTTTAATCATAGGCCCTAAAGTAGTTCCTTTTTGGGATTACCTTATAGGATTCTATATATGAACCCCAAGAAGGAACTACTTTAGGGCCTGTGGGTAAGGCTTTAGGGTTTAGTTTCGCTTTTGGTTTGCGTTCCAGGGTTCGTTTCAGGGTTTAGGCTGTAGTTTCGGTTTTGCGTTCTTTTCAGGGTTTACGGTTCCTTTTTGGTTTTGGGTGTAAGGCTGTAGGATTTAAGGTTTAGGGTTTAGACGGTTCACTTTGTTCACAAGCGATGTTTGTAGTTTCAAGCGAGGAAAGAGTTTATAGCCTTTTGTTGGGCTTGTGTATGTTTTCGTTGATGAGTGTGTTCCAGCTTTTGTTTCCACCACAGCAGGGGCGCATGTCCGTAATGCGAGCTGCGTGGCTGGACGGCCATCAGCAGCCGCCGCATCGATTGCGTTTTACAACGACAGAATTATTTTCGATAATGGCATTGCAACAGCAACAGTCTGAGTACACTCTGCAATTCCTCGAGTGTCGTATCCCCTAAAATCCCTAAAAGTCCCTATAGTTTTTGTACACGGTTAATGTATCCATATGTATCCAAGAAAGGCAGATGCTCAGGCTTGCATCTGGATGCATGGGGTTGGTAGGGTGGCATCTTGGCATCTTGGCTCGAATCCTTACGAAAGCACTCTAAATTAGGGCCCCTTTTTAGGTTCCCAATATAGTACGGCACCCTTATAAAAAGGACCCTAAAAGGGACCCCAGTTTTGAAAACTACTCATATCCTAGTCACTTAGTCTCCAAGGAGTCGTGTGTCAAGTCTTTGGGGCTCAAAGATCTTGCCATCGAGTCTACAGCGGTCCTGGGCCACATTAGATAAGCCTAAAGGTTATAAAAAGGTTTAGTTTCTAGGGTTCAAATTTTATCGTTTAGGGTTTAGGGTTTACAGGGTTCAGGGGAAAAGGACGCAGGGAGTAAGGGAATACAGATGTCGGAAACAGTCGGAAACATGTTGCATGTGCCGTTGCAGTCCTATCCTCATTATCGTCTAATATCACTGTAATTGACCGAGACCCTATTCAGTGCTGAGGATTCGCCCGTGAATCTTGCTTGTGATCCAAACCCTAAAGGCCTTTCAGTGGGTCCCTAAACCCTAAACCCTAAACCCTAAACCCTAAACAGGTTTTGCTGAGTTTTCCTGGCTTTGCTGCGCCGGACGAGGAAGCGGCGATTTGGGATTTATAGGGACTCCCGAGTTTAGGGTTTAGGGTTTAGGGTTTAGGGTTTAGGGCAAACATGGGATATCCTGGGATTTCATCTACTTGGAGGATCATGGGACTTAGTAAGTAAGGTTATAAGTCCCAATTGGGGTTATAAGTAAATATAAGTACAGTTACCTTAATTATTAATAACCCTACTTACTAAGGTCCCATGGTCCTTTAAGTATCCTGGGATTTAATCGAGCATAACTCCATAGATAGGCTTACCGAATCATGTCATGTATGGCACACACCCCTCAAAAGAAACCCCTAAAAGTAGCTCCGGTAAGTATGCCTGCAAGCCTCAGCGTCCCGCCTGGAACGCCTGGAAGCACACACCCTACGAAATAGTTGATCATGATTTCGCGATTCTAGGCTTCAACCGTTCCACCTTTATATAATCCGTTTATTGGATCCACAGTAGGGTTTGTGGCTTCAACGCCGTTAACCCTCATATCATGATAAACTATGAACGATTCATTGGATCCCCCCCTAAACCCTGAACCCTAAACCCTAAACCCTAAACCCTAAACCCAGTAGAGTTTGTGGGTCCGGATTCTCTTTTTCTGAGTCCAGGGGCCCCGGTTTCCAGGTTGTAGGTCGACCCATACTTAAAGGATCATGGGACATAGTAAGTAGGGCTATAACTAAGGGAACTATACTTATAACCACGGGACTTAGTACGTAAGGTTATAAGTCCCTTAATTGCGGTTCTAAGTAAATACAAGTACAGTTACCTTAATTATCACCCTACTTACTAAGTCCCATGATCCTGTAATAAACCCTAAACCCTAAACCCCTAAACCCTAAACCCTAAACCCTAAACCCTAAACCTTAAACCCTAAACCCCCAATTACTAACTCCCATGATCCTCCAAGTAGCTGAGGTGCAGGCTTCTGGGAGCAGGGTCCCATCAGGGCTTTATGGACCAAACAAGCGCAAACCTCACATACAAAGTGTCAAAAAACATGTCTACGAGCGTTGAAATTTAAGAGAACGGACAAGAGGACCCTGAATCTAATGAGCTTCTATGAAGCCCTTAGTTGGGGTTATAAGTAAAATATGAGTATAGCTACCTTACTATAACCCTACTTATAATGAGCTTCTATGAAGCCACCCTAAACCCTAAACCCTAAACCGTCATTCAGCCAGCCTTCGGGCTTTGGTCTGCCCTTTGCACAAGGATTGACTACTTCAAGGATCATGGGACTTA